CTTTTTCCCCCCCCCCCCCCCCCCCCAGTCTGGTACCTTGGTCACCCCACTCTCTTCATTATGCTACAATGTAAAGTTCAATCCCAGAGACTGAAGTCCCATAATACTGGCTTTGGACATGTACAGACATTTTGTTTCTCCCAGGAGAATCAACACTCTCCCAGTAAAAATTGCTGGTGTACAAGGTTCATTCAACTTTCTCCCAGAGGAAATACGCCCCCTCCAGGAGAAAGATCTTCTCCATTGACACCTGGATGATCTCTCCTGCAAGAGGATTGCTCGCAGCAGCATGAACGCCTGCATGCTCAACTCCTCTATGATCGGAAGGCATCAAGCAGCAGCTTTCCCTGTGTCTTCCCCAGACTAGGGGATCCAGGTCTGGGGAATGTAGGGAGGCATTTCCCCACAGATCAACTCCTCTCGATCACAGAAGAGCAGACCTGCTGCTGCCCCATCCCCACCTCCTTCACAAGACTAGGACAACCTATATGCTACTCCCCACTCATTGCTCAGAGCGGGAACAGACCAGTGTGGGGAATGGGAAGGGGAGAATGCCATGCTGCTCCCTCCAGACTGGGAGCAGTGGAGGAGCAGCCACCTGCTGCTCTTCACTAGTTTTACAGACCAAGGTGTCTTCAGTCAGGGGAATGGGCAGGGGGCATTGCCCTTCTCCTCCCTATGCCCTGCTCTGCTGCTGGAGACCAGGAGTGGATGGAGCTGTGAGACGATTCTCCCCATGTCTCCCAGTCTACGCTCACCCTGCCATTCTACTCCCCCTGTGGCCCATGAGGAGTGGAGGACAACCCCAGTCTGGGAAGCCATGGGGAGCCAGGAAGAGGGAACAGCTGCAGATTGAAATGCCTGTACTGCTCCCTCTCCTGGGAAGATTTCTAGAAGTGGAAATTTCCTGGAAATGAATGACTGTTCATAGTCTTTGTAGCTGTTTCACTTTATTCACAACAGAGCAGTTGTGCTGCTGTGGGAACAGTACTGTCTTGATTAAGACTGTGCTCTTGCCAGAGTAGTGACATTCTAGCAGTGTTTCCTTCTCCCACAAGATTAAGCTATTTCTTCACCAGCACCTCCCTGCAAGACTTATGCAAAGCCAAAGTATACTGAACACTCCTATAGATACATAACAGTTTCTGCCCTTTAATCTTTTTGCAACATGTTCTAAAGTACAAATTCAATAATGTATCTAATTTCACTTTGAAAAGCATTTCAGAAATGCCAAGCAACATTCAAACAGGTTAATGCCTACAGCTCGGTGTTTAAATTCATTGCTATCCTTTAATAAAGGGCTGATTAGTTTGAGTCTTTTTCTAATTCATGACTACTCCCCTTGTTGCTCACCTGAATGCTTTCATTATAGGTATTTTAAACTGTTCAGGGGGATGAGTGGGATGTTTTTAATTAACCTGAAGCCAATGAAACTCAAACTCCTCCTTTCTTGAACACAGGAAGAAACAAATAAGGCTGGCTGTTTCCCCAAAGAGCACACCTAACACTACCCCCAGATCGATCTACTTCATAACAAATGCTGCTTATTTCCTCTGTCTTTTTAAATTAGTTTCCTTTCTACTAGTATCATAATTGCCCCACTGAATTCAGCATGCCTTTAAAAGTAGACATCAACAAATGCATTAAAAATAGCCAAATACATCCTAAAGCACATTTTAAAAATAATATGCTCATCAAGAAAGTTTCTTGATATGATTAATACTTGTATTCTGAAGCCTGTGGACTTGAAGCCACATGAACTTTATTTCATCTAGTAGCACTATGCATATTTTCATTATTCACATAAACTTCAAAGCATTTAAATTCCAGAAGTTCTGGGCCTAGACATCTTGAGGCAATGAATTACATGATTAATAAATGATTTTTTTAAAAGCACGGTAATTGTTTTTAAATCGATGGCCTCTTAATTCAGCTTCCCCTGGTTCTTGCAGTGACCTACTACTAATTTAAAATGCCCTCTGTCACCTCAGATCTAGCAGCACCCTCAATCAATATAGTGTGGAGAGAGAGGAAAGATGAAGTAGCAAATCCACCAGTACCTCTTTAAAGGAAGATGGATAAAGGTGACTGGGTTTACAAGAGAAGGGTCAGGCAGTATGGTACAATGGGATACACTTTATTTATTTAAAAAAATATTTTCCATTGATACAGCACAGTGAAACAATGTAGTATACTTTATCACATTTACAATTCTAATATAGATACCAACAGTTGCTTTCCTTTGATATAGGAGAAAGTGAATAATTTTCACTGCCTTGATTCTGCTCTTACTGAAAGGTGAAAAACCCACTGACTGATGCCAGGCCAAAGTTACAACACAAAGGGAGAGAGCAATGCTTGATTATGGTATCATATCTGTGTATATCAACAGGAGTCACTGAAATTCCTCAAAATCACTTGGTCTGAATGAGAACATGTTTCTCCACCAAAAGTGTATGGTTATATGGATTGGACATTTATGTGAACAGCAGCAGCATTCAGAGTAACTACAATAATAATGATGAGAAAAAGAAAGAATGAGTCTAGGAATAAATACAAATCCTTATGGTTTAAGGCAAACTCTGGCTACTCAATGCTACACAGAAACTTTGTCCTACGGGAAGATTACCTGCAATGGCCTCCTGCAGGATTACCTGTACTTTTCTCTGCAGGGGCAAGACATAGACAGAGTTAACATTTTCAGAAGTGCTTAAGCAGTTACTCTGATTTTCAGAGTCATATATTCAGCCTTGAAAATTTTGCCCACACTCAAACCTACCTTAGTTGTGTCTGCAAATCAGCTCAAAAAAGTTTTATTTTAAAGTAACATCAATTACACAAGGATATGTGGTGGGGGAGGGGGGGAAGAGACTTGAACCAGCTGTGCTTGTGCTGGGATATCTAGATAGATAGATAGTTATGCAGGATATATATATATATATATATGTGTGTATATATATATATATATATATCCCATAAATGCATGGATGATATATATACCCTGTGAACACAGGGAAAAAACTATCATCTGAGAATGTATATCAGAGCTACCATTTTTGTACTGCTTGGACAGATGGAATTTCAGAATGAAAGGCATTTGTGTGAAGACAGAGCAAGAGATGAGCAAACAGGAGAAGCCAGGAAATGGAGACAGCTGAATAAGGCACTACTAAGTGTATCCTACCCAGAAAACCTAAGAAAGGGGTGAGTACAAAGAAAGCAGGACAGAAGTCTAGGACAGCAGTGCAGAGTAAGCTGTCTTCTCATCCTTAGGCACAATCCTTCCAAATAAGCCTAAAAACACAGTTGCAAGTTTTGCTCATGCCTGTTCTTCATTTTTCCAGACAACTAAGCAGAGGACTTCCCTTCCCAGGGCCATTAGTCCAACACTTCTGCAAAGCACTATATGAGACATATTTTAAAATACTTTTAGATCCCTATTAGCTCAGAAAACATTTCTAGCCCTGAGAACCTAAGGAAAATATACTGCTATCTTCAGAAAAATACCATTTGGGTCTAAAAATATTGGAGTTAACAAAACCATGTCACTTTTGAAGGAGAGTCTTTCCATAAGGTTCAGTGAAAGCAGGATTCAGTTCTTTCTGGGTCTGAGGAGAGCAACTGCTTCAATATAGAGAGAAATGTAAACATGAGAAAAAATACTGGATTGTTTAATTTTATTCAGCTCTCCTCCAGCAATAAAAGGCTATGCCTGGGTCAACTGCAAAGAGGGAAAATAAATAATAAATTACATGCTTCCAGGCAGATGAACCATTGGCTCAAAGTTCTGATACACTCTAATATCATAATCAAAAAGATTATGTTATAAGTCCTGCACATCAGCAAAAGAATTTCTTCACAGAAATACAAAATATGCACACACACAAACATATATACATATGCATGCACCTTATTATTTATTTTATATATATAAAATAAGAATGCTGATATGTTACAGGACTCCAAAAAAGACAACATATTGATATAAAGCCTGATTTGGTAGGTTTATTTAAAAGGGAAAATAGCAAGAAGACTAATGAGGAAGGATGGCTAACCTCAGAAAGCAAAATCATGATCCTGAAAAGGAAAATCTCACTGGCAGCAGAAACATCTTACATGCTTGTATAAAGGAATTCAATTCAGCTAGATTCTTATTCCCTAGATAACAGTGCAGGTACAG